CAGCAGCTGCCCCTTCGTCACCACAGGAGACCTCCAGTTCCTACCCACTTTAGTCTGCTTGCCTCATTCAGATTGATCTGCAGGGGCCCCGAAGCCGTCTGAGTCAGCGGCTCTGAGTTGGAAAGATTAAGCAGATGGAGGCCCAAAGCCAGTCATGGGTGAGCTTTCCCCGAACCATAAGTCAACATATCAGTAATAAAATGTAAGGCACGTAAGTGAACACAGTCATCTGAGAAACAGGAACACCCGTGGTCAGGTCTACTTGGATTTGGGCTCCAGGATACTCTTTTGTCTCTAAATACATTCACTTTTATTATTTCATTTGTTCTGAAATTACTCTCAGATAAACCACTGAAGCTAAGTTATCCAACCAAGATCACCCAAATAGCCAGCTCTGAACCCAATTTCATCCCCCTACAGTGTTTTTCCAATATTGAATCAACACTCGGCAGGGCCACAAAGCTTTTTCCACCCCAGGACCTTGGCATCTGCTGTTTCCTTTACTTGGAAACCTCTCCAACCTCTTTACATGGGAGGGTCTTACTCTTTCAGCTCATCTGCATCACCTCCACAGAGAGAGATTTTCCCAATCAGACTAGTTAAAACAGCACACGTGCACGCACACATACACATGCCCACATCCTCACCCGCCAATTATTCTCTAGGCTCCTTGCACCTCAAAGTGAGGCCCCGCTATCCACAGCCTCTGGAAGCATTTCTGAATTGCAAAGAAAATCTCAGGCCCTGCTCAGAGTGGCAGAATCAGGATCAGCATGTTCGCCAGATTCCCCAGGTGATTCATATATTCTTAAAATTTAAAAAGCGCTAACTACACAAGCACTGCCCAATAGAAATTCAATGCGAATCAGGAGTCTACTTGTAAAATTTCAAGTAGCCACGTTTAAAAAGTAAAGACATGGAATTAACAATATATTTAAGTGAATAAGAATGTTGCAATTTCCACATGTAACTCAGCATAAAATCCCTCATGAGCCATTTGGCACTCTGTGTATTTTACACCTACAGTCTATTTCAATTTGGGCATTTCTTGTGGTCAGTGGCCAGAGGTGGACAGTAGCTACCCCACCAGACAGAGGCACTCCCAGCCTCTGCTGACTCTAGCTGGTCTCCGTAGCCTTTATCCCAACCAGAATTTTTTTCTCCGAATCGTTTGCCTTGTTTCTTTGTTGTTTCCCTGACTCTAGGGACCAGTTCCAGGAGAACAGGAGCTTGATCTGTCTTATTTTTCACTTGACCCTCGGTTCCAAAGACAGTGCTGGGTGCCCGCTCAGCATCCACTCAATATTTGTTGAATGGAAGAATGAAAACCGTACATGACCTGCCTAGTACTTGCTGCATGGTGGAGCCGCAGAGGGACACAAAGCACGGTGAAACGGACAGATGTGGGTTCAAATCTCCGCCCAGGAGTTGGCCAGTCTGCGACCCTGAAACAGTCATTCACCCTCCCCTGGAATAATGGAAAATCTCGCCCATAAAACAGAGATGCTGCTATTTAGCTCACAGCACCACCGCGACACTTAAATGTGAAAACGCATGTACAAAGCGCAAGCCACCACACTGGCTGGCACTTCTGTCAATGCCAGAGGGATTCCGTCCTTCATTCTCTCTCTGGGTAGCGTGTGCAAATAACGCTGCTGTCACTGACCACCTCCCCCAGGATGGGGCAGCAGGAGTGTGGCTTTGGAGAGATTGCCCTGAGTTAGTTCTCCCAGCCCATGGACCTGTATATGAACTGGGGAGAGTGAAGGTAAATGGGGGACCTCTTCCCAAGGGGTCCCCTGGAGAACAGTTCATCATGTAAACCACAGGAGAAGACACCAGTTATGTTGCTTTGTCACCTTGGTGAGTCATGCAGTGGCAGCCAGGGACCTTCCCCCAGGTCCCGTCCCTTGCAATAGTTCAAGATCTCTGCCCAGACAACTTGTACCAGATCCCCCGGAAAGACGGGAAGGGATGAGTGGTGGGTTGAATCTTCCCCAACTTATTAATCACTGGTTGGTGTCCATATTCCGAGGGAGGCCGGCTTCTGCGAAGCCTCACCACACACCACCTAATCCATTAGTCAATGTTGCCCTGAGAACCGAACGCACATGTTCTAATCTCAAATGTGTTTTTACATCACATTAGATCAACAGCATAGGAGCAAAGCAAAACCCGGATTGAGAGATAACTGGAGTGACGGGAAGGAAATAAAACGGCTCAGGCTGATTAGTGGAGTATCAGGAAACCCCAAGACGGCAGAAGTGACAGCCGCCCCAGTTTCTTCTTGGCTCTTGCTACGAAGAAGAAAAAAAAAAAAAACCAGAACCGCGTGCAGGATCAGTCGGCTACCAGAGACCCATTAAAAATAATAAGAAGTCAATACATAAATCGAGGGAAATCAAAAGCATAAATTAACCTCTGGATCTCTCATCGGACGAATAGAGTCCAGGTAGCTCACCTGGTATGTACGGGAAGGGATTTTGCCATGGAAGGGCATCATTTTCAAAGACTCAAGACTGGAACAGTGAGGTATTTGTTATTGGTTTGAATCCATGCTACCACTTCCGTTTCTACAAGATAGTGTGGTTGTTTGTCCATTCGCTCCTCCTACATGGGAAAGAGGGATCAGAGAGGCCAGGAGACCAGGAACTAATGAGAAGTCTTACAAATTCCCTGACAGCACTGTCATCTGCCTGTTCAAGGCCGGGGCCAGCACATTCTGCTTCTAGGAGCCCAGGAGCGTGCACACCAGCCAGCTTGAGTGAGGCATGATTCCCTCTATGTCCGATGGACAAGTATTGGCAGGAAAGTTGTTCCTGAGAGGGTCTTCTCCCGCACTCCCAATCAGGACCACCCAGCATGACGAGGCTCTGTCATGGGCTAGATGCTAGGTGAGCAATGCAAGGCACAGAGATGTCCCATGGTCCCCTCAAGTGAGGACCAAGCGTACCTCACTCCTCTCAGCACCTCTTGAGGTTAACCATTCTATGCATGGCCACCAAGTAGTGACACTGAGCCCCAAAGATCACCAGCATTGGCAGGGAACAGGAGGCTTGGCACACCACAGTGCTGGAATATCTTCGGTAGCTGCAGTGTGACAGCGAGATAGTTTATGTACCTTCAAGTCTACGTACCCAAAGGAATATAGGACTGTCTGGCATCTGCTTTCCCTTGATTCAAAAAATTACCCAGACCCCACCATGGCACCCCACCCAGCACCCCTGGTCAACTTGAAGTCATCTGAATGAAACACCCCGTACTCTCTTTCCAGCTGTCGCAAAGCAACCCAAACACATGTTAGAAAGATTTGATCTTTATGCCTTCCTCAAAGCACATCTGACACTTCTCACAAGACACACAGCTTTAAAATTAGAACTGGAAATCAAAACTCGCAGTAACCCTCACCAGGCGAAAGCCACCCCACAGAAAGAAACCAGAACATCCCCAGGACCAACAGTTAGGCAATCAAACCCTCCAGAGACGTCGTACCCCGTCTTTATTTTGCTGTTGTTGCATTAGTCATCCCGACACCTTTTAAATTATAATCACAAACTGAAAGCCATGGCTTGTGATGTTATAAATACTGATTTTCCAGTTAAATTAAGCATTTGCTGTTTTATGTTTTGATAGGAAGGGGCTGTTTGAAGCCTCCTAAAATATTGCAATTAGTTCTCGCTGTTGAAACAGACAAGACATTAACAGACACATTTGCTGTTTCGGGATAATGTGCTAGAATGCTTATGCCTAAGTGTTCTTCTCTGAAGCTTTTACAACACCAGACATATTTTTGAAAGTGGAAGAAATCAATCACAATACACACATTGATTATGTATTTTTAAAGTTAAGTTATTTCTAAAACTTTCCCAGGCTGTATTTTAAACCTAGAAAGCACATCTCTTCAACAGGAAGGCGATCTGTCAGGAAACAATTTTACCTATTGGCTCTGTTAAGATGATAACATCACTTTAGTTGACAAAGGCCGTGTTTCTGTTTTGACAATTGCAATTATTTATTGAAATGCAATCGCGGTGGGTCTGGCCATCCAGATGGGTTCCCCAGAAAGACATGAAACAGAGGAAAAAGGGAAAGGGTGTTGGGTGGGGGGAAGGATTGCAATTGGAGTATTTGCACAGTGTTGTTGCAAATGTTATTGCTGGCAAGATTGGTGGATTATTAATTTATTTCACCTGCACATAACTTTCGATACTGCCTTACTCACACCACCAGCAAACGGTGGGAAAGAAGGGCCATGAACATCTCACAAGAGCATCTCACAACCTCCAATTTTGGCTGAAGGAATTGCAGATTCGAAGGGGCATCAGTGCAGGGTATAAACATTCTTAGGGAACCAACTACCATTTAGGCACTTAGGCTCCTGATGCAAAAGCAACTCCATGTTCATTCAGCCGAGGGGGGCAGAAAGTTATGGAGGTGGGAAACACCCTGTCTTTACTAGAAAGCCAAAGCGCCAGCATCATCTTTTTAACCGGCTTTCCTGTGCATTTTTGCTCTGACCTTAAAATACTAAAGTTGGATTCCAGCCACGCAGATGCGTTTGAGGGCGATTGTGATTGATTCCGGGGGATCTCAAAGCCCCTTCGTCAATTTAGTTATCCTGTCTCGTTCCTCCAGCGTCCCCCCCCCCCCATAGAATCCCAGAGCCCTGCAAAAGCCTGGGTTAGGAAACACCCCGCAGGCAGGAGGACGGGGGATCCCCAGGCTTGGAGCTGGGTAGATGGAGAAAGCGCCCCTTTAGATGGGAAGCCCCAGGCAAGGCGGGGATGACACGTCCCCTAGCCCTAAAATAAAGTGATCTGAAGCTGGAGTCCAGCCCTCTGAGTCCAGCAGCTCCCCCTGAGCAACCCCGCCACAACTCCCAGAGCCCCAGCGCAGGGACAGAGGACTCCCGGGATGTTCCTGGATCTCGAAGGGCATGGAAAGCGGCGGCTTCCCCTCCCGGTCTCCCCAGGGGTCCCTCCCATCCCGAGGGGTCCTACCTGTACCACTCCAGCCCCTTTTCGTAGTTCCTGTCGAAGAAGTGCGGCTCTACGCCCACCGCCCGCACGTCCGGGTGTACTCGGATCGCCTCTAGCAGCGCGCGGGTCCCTCCTTTCTTGACCCCGATGATCAGCGCCTGGGGCAGCTTCTTCTCCCCATAGTCGGGGGTGCTGACGACGCCGCCCCTCTCGCTGCTCCCGTTGGCCGCTCTCCGGCCTGCCAGCTCCTCGTCGGTGGTGCTGGACTCCTGTGCTTCCCTTTCCAGCAGCGCGCTCTGCGCCGTGATCATCTCGCTGGGGGCCAGCGGAGTCCGGAGCCAGGCGTCCCGGGCGC